CCATGGAAGACTAGGTCTTTTTGAGATAGCTGGAAAAGAAAAAGATTTATGTGACCACAAAGCCCATGGAACATCTGCTTGAGGCCTATCACACAGCCTTTTGATGGATTGTTTTGAAGCTTGATTGTTCCTTACGCTGGATAGACAAAAACCTCATACCACCGACAGCGGAAGACCATGGGGTATGGTAGAGTGTGATATTTCTCGGGCCCACCTTTTCTAACACCCCCTTCCCGCTGTGAAGGTAGTATCAGCGTGGTACTGCTGGTCATCCAAGAAAAACACCTTACTGCTACCACGTCTTATCCGGCTATATATATATATATATATATATATATATATATATATATATATATATATATATATATATATATATATATATATATATATATATATAATATATATATATATACATAACCATTAGTGTTCGAAACCATAACAGATATCTTCGTAGCATTGCTCACGTTTGGTGGAGTCATCATGTGAGCAGTGCTGAGGCCAGTCGGGCGAAGGGTACTAGGCAAAACAGGTAAGCCGATTGATGAGGTTGTGAATCTTAGTTAATTGAGATGGCCTGGACATGTACTGGGCATGCCGACCCGTCGCCTACCTCGATGTACCATGTTAGGGGAAGCTGGATTAGGTTGGAAGAGGATTCAGCGTGGTTAGGCCAAGACCTAGCACTATTCCATGAAGTCTCCGACTTCCGGTCTCAGCCATGTGCGGAGATGTAAACTGTCCGGCTAGGGTCCCGGAGACAAAAGGAATCAGTGGTTGAGGACTCTTGGTGACAATCGGTCACAGTGGTGTAGATGTATTCACTCCTTGACATCTTTCAAAAGTTAAATATTTGCACTAACCTTATCCTCAGATTGTTTATTTTCTCACACTACTTTGACATCACTTTATACTACTGCGAAGTGTGGCAACTTGAGCCGATGCACCTGTGTGCGAGGTTCTACGTCGATTTTGTCGGTTGGTCAACTTGAAAAAAATGGAAGACAATGTAGAATTTCATAGCTGATTAAGAATCTTGCAGTTTCTTGCCTAATCCTAAAAATTATTAGTCTGCACAACTAGTAGGTCAGTTCTGAGGCGACCCGGAGAATTCACTTCTCTGGGTTGACTTAATCCATATTAAAATAAGCAATTAATAAGCTCGGTCTCGAACGAGTGGAATGAATGTCTGGTATTTAGATTACCCATGACTGACTAAAAAGCAGTACTTTGATGAAGAATTTGTTTCTTAATACTGATGTCAATCTGTGGTATCCAAGTAAAATATGATTTCAAAAATAGTGTGGGCTCCTTGGAGATTAGAAGCTGTGAGATATAAATGCAATCATTCACTTTCACTACTCTTCCCTCTACGTGCTACAATATTTCCTGCGGAAGATTATGAGGACCAACTCTCTTGCATAATAGACCTGTTCGAGATGTTCCCGCAAAGGTTACCGGAAAAGTGTAGAAGAGGTAGACACATCAAAGATTCATAGATATCCAGGATACGGTATGGTTACAGACGTGGACAGTCGTATTGTTTTGCGTCCAACCAAGAGCAGAATAGGGAAAAGATGTACATAAGGAAGTCCATCACTAGTCATTGCGCTAGATGGATGTGAAGATGCTGCCTTCTTCGACTTTCTCATATGCTTGCAGAGGTTACCAGAAGAGAGAATTATCCCTCGTAAGTTTACGAAGCACATGTGGCTTTACACGAGACCGACTGCCCAGACCTCCTGAGATTGGACAAAATTCTTCATCGTATCATTCGCTCACACTGCCGCCGATACAACTATGACTATTACTATCAGTATACCTTTTAGCATACTAAAATTTGGAAACATTCTCAATAATATTACAACTGTTGTATGCACCGGCTTATATCTGTACATAATCTGAAAACAGATCCCTTAAGGCCGAAGTAGAGCATTCTAGCAACATCTCCAGTCTCATGTAAAAAAGCCGTAAGTGAGTTTCAGAGAGAAGTGAGAGGGCATCAGATGACCTCGCCAGCTACACAATTAATGCATGCGCGTGGACGCATTTCTGCAGGCTTCCACCACAATGAGGAGCGGAAGTAATTCAAATGTAGACTTAAAAGAAGTCTACGCAATTACCATGAGCGGTAGAGAAGGCTACAAAGATGGAAACGACAATGGAGATAGATAACCCTAGACAGTTATTTAGGCATAACAAGAAAACAGGGGTGAAAAGGTTAATAGTCAATGAGAATAAATCAGAGGAGAATGGGTTTGTGATTCACTCATAAAGCAGACGACTCGAACGATGGACGGACCACTTCGATGATTAGCTCGACGGCCCTCTAGCCACTATCCCATCACCCACTATCCAGTTGGGTCCTGGATAGAACATTGCGATAGCACTTCAAACACGTGCAGAAGTCTAAAAAGCGGTAAGTAATCTGAAATGAGGAACAGCAGCAGGGCCAGATGGATTGGTAACGGAGTTATGTAAGAACGGTGGAAGATGACTACGAGTTAGGTTAACTGAAGTGTTAGTGCATGGGAGTCAGACGTGATCCCCTCTAATTGGTCTCAATCACTGACTATTCCGGTCTTCAAGAAAGGAGAGAAATTCTACCGAGAAAACTACAGGGGAATCTTTCGAAAGAATATGGTGTCTATGCTTCTAGGTCCTACAAATATAAGGCATCTACAGGAAGCTAGCGAACAGCGAGCCCAAGAAAACCAGAAAAGGTACAAAACTGTTTATTAGACATTCGCTATACGTCAGATTTTAGAAAAAACACGCGTACCGGCAGCCGACACTAACAGTATTTCTCGATTTGAAGGTGTCATTCAACCCCACCGGTTGAAAGATCACAGTAACATAGGACCTGGATATACTGCATAACGGTCCGGGTTGCTACACCTGATATCAGCCCAACAAGGGAGAATGTATCACGGTGAAAAACAAACACATAAGGTGGGAAGCCGTCAAAAGTGGTAGACCGTACCGGTTAGAAGGCAAGAAGGAATGAAACAATGTTGAAATTCAATATGAAGACAATGTGTGCGTAAGTTTCACTAGTGAGGTTGATTCCGGGCCAACTAACCTAGTCTCAATCACTGTTTCCTGCTGTCGCGCTGACAAAGCGATTAGTCTACATTTCTCTACATAACTCCGGACAACGGCAAAACTTCGCTGGCATGCCAGGGGTTTGTCAACTACCTTTAGACTGCATGCCCTGAAACTTCTTCAGAAAACAATGTGAGACAGGGAGGATGGTAACTACGCATGCGAAACACATCCCAGAAATTTAAGCTGATGATTTAAAAAACCAACTGAATTTCTTTTTCTCACAATAATACACCTGACTTCTACGTTACTCAACAGGTGACAAAACTGAACATGAACTATGATATCGTCCAGTAACCTATGTGATCACGCAACTCGCTGAATTCTAGATCATCGCCTTTCCGGTTAGTCAGTATAAACATCAGACCTAAAAATGTCGCACAACAGTCCCAGTTGCTACGCCTCATGTCAGCACATGAATTTACAGGATAGCAGGGTAAAAGATAGAAGAATAGGAAGATGCCATCAACAGTCACAGGAAGTCATGAGAGGAACGGTGCTCAAAACAATAACGAAATGCGATATAACGATTAGTATGAAGAGAATGTGTGAATGTAGCCTTACCAAAATTACACATGGGAGAGATAGATGGATGCATTTGGCATACAACCCTCATTAGCCTTGCTATACATTGATCACATGTACAATTGTATCACCCTTGGCAGATCTGCCAACATAAAATCACGAGAACACTGTCATAAAACATAATAGGCTACGTGGCTATCGAGTTTTACTGGACGCCTATTGGAGGCTCTTCGTATGTCATATCGATCAGAAAGTGGGTTAGCAGTCAGCATCGTCAGCGCGCCTCGAATGAAAAATGAATGGCGATAGTACATACAACAGACGACACCGGTTGTCATCCCACGACGTAACAACACTGTAAACTCTTCGGCATTTACGTAAATCCTAATCGACAATGTTAGCACCGACAATATGTCGATGCCCTTTAGGTCATCACTTGGAAGCAAAAAAAATACGGCAGCTAACACGCACTGGTAAGTAGGCCTGCATTCGAAAATAGAATGAAGGGTCAATATATGATTATCGTGGACTCATTCAGGATAAAAAGTACTAGCTTTCTAGGGTATGCTGGTACTGAGACAGCGTTACGTACGTGGCAACGGCCCTATTGACCTCCAACGCTGTCGGTTATGTTTATTTCGCTACAGTTCCTCTCATTTGCCAAGAATTAGAGAAAGTCAAATGCGTTAGTACAAGTTTAGCCGAATTTATGTAATCCTCCTATGATGGCTTCAAAACGAGTGTTCACACCGCAAATCTTAGTAGATATTCCCTTCAGTTAAAATTGACACAAAGATATTTCAGCCAGGACATCAAATACTCTGTAATCGAGCCTAATCACTAATATTGGTGATATGGCTCATTACTGTTGAGTTCCAGATTCATACTAACTAGAAACCCGATGACGAACTACCAAATATGCGAACAAAACTGGCTATGCTGCAAAATGGGACACTGTTCGTTTGACCGAAAGATTAGCCTTGACTTACAATGCTCATCCTAAAGCAGTAGGCTATGTAGGCTCGAGATGCAACTCCCAAATGTACTTCACTTAATAGGCAGATAGAACGTTAGGAGGCCAAAATGCTCAAACATAAGTTCCACAATAGCCAAAAGGAGTACTTCTAGTCACTAGTAGACGACGGTCCATAGGTTTCACGCAGATTTATTACACACTACTAGGCAAAATTCAAGGATACAAATCAACTTTCATCAACTGGATGAGAACATCAAGATACCTGAAGAATACTACAAGGCGTAACAATATACCACTCATTCAATAGGTGCCGTTTGAAACGCTTGAAAATTGCAGGACGTTGTAAAAACTATGAAATTATGTTACAACATGCATTCTTCGCAAACAATCAGCTCACCTGGGTCACGCAAGCACAATCCTAAGGTGGCTGGTGTGTGAGCTCTTGCAGTCTGACTGTTCAGATTGTAGTAGCCAAGGGATTTTTCATCTTCCATTTCGGTTTGCTGCTTTAAAAGCATCTGGTCCTCAGGCTTCACCTTAAGTATTCCTTCAATCATTTTTTTCACCTCCAGAACAGGACTCGTTTCTTTGGCATTTAGGTGAATGGTTGTCTTCTTACGACGCACAACCACATATACCTCCTGAACAATAGATGAAGTTATAGTTTAGCGATTACAGGAGAAAGTAGAATGATAAAGACTGAAAACAACAGGAAAACTACCATTTGCCTAGGAACGGTCTCAAAGGCGTTAAATCTGCCGCCAAAACGCCTAACTGAAATGCCGCCTATGTAATGTTCTACAATATGTTTCTCCGTTTCAGACAATGTGCTTTAAAAGCGAATGCCTCAGGGGTTTGTGTAGGTAGTTCTACAACAGATATCTGTTTACATTCAGTCTTTTTTGATGTATGAAACGCAAGAAAAGTGATATAATATTGTGTCAAATGTTCCAAACAGTTGGGAAGGGTTAATTATGGGACAGAAGACTCTTGCAGTTAGGTGGCTTCCATATCTAGAAGCAGTGGACCAGTAGTCCGTATTTCAAAGATCGAAAACGCGTGAAAAGGGAGCGAAAGAGAAGAAAAACTGCATATTATTATCAGTCTAGCCTGCGAATCCACAATAAGAACTTTAATGAAGAACTATTCTTTTTCAAGGACTCTAATGGTATAGCCTAAGAAACCTTCATTGTGAGCGCATTATTATTATTATTTTCCCTTGGGTTCCTAGCGGAGCGCACGGCTTCAGTAGCACGCCTCCACTGCACTCTGTTCTCTGCTGTCTATTGAACCTCGCTCCACCACCGCTCACAACCTTTCATTTCTTCCTCACATGATCTGTTCCAAGTCACCCTCACCTCGGACGCCCAACTCGTCGTTTTCCTTTGAGGTTCCACTCGAGTGCCTGGCGCGTGGTGTTCCCAGTCGACCTTCTCAGTGTCTGTCCAATTTATCTCCACTTTCTTCCTCTGCATATTTGTTGGGCGGAGGGGGTTCTTGGTTGGTTCATTCCCAGGCTACAGTGAGTTCCCTGTTGCTTATTCCTCCCGGCCATCTGATCTTGAGTATTGACAGCAGGCAGCTGTTGACGAATGTCTGTAGTTTGTTGGAAGTGATTTTCGTGACACGCCAAGTTTCTAAACCATATAGCAGCACTGACTTGGCTGACACTGTTGATGAAAATTCAGATCTTACCCTTTGTGCTGAGCTCGATCTCTACATTGACTTCGGATTAATGAAAGCTTGTCTTGCTTTTCCAGTCCTGATTTGACATCCTTGTCTGTGCCACCGCCACCTGTAGTCGAAACGACGCTGTCCTGCTTAGGTAGGTGGAAGAGAACTTCCTTTGGGTTCCTCCTACTATGGTGGTTGGTGCTTGTTGTTGATGCTGTTGTAGATTGGGCATCTTCATCACCTCCGTCCTCTCTACATTCACTTAGAGGAAGTACCGTCCTCGCCGCCTCTTCCGTCAACTTGTTACTTTTCGAAAACAGACCTCCTAGTTTGTGCGACATTAGACATATATCATCATTGGCGAAAGCCTAATCTTCTTCTGGGGTCTTTTCAACGGTTCAGCGTGTGCCCATCTTCTCGCTCCTCATGGTTCGCTGCATAATCCAGTCCACCATAATCAGGAAGATCATCGGTGATAATAGTTAGCCTTGTCTTACCCTGTCTTCACTTCAAAGGCGTCACTGAGCTTTCCATTGCGGATCACTTGGCATGTGGCGTCGTCACATGCCCGTTGAATGAGGTTGACGAAGATTTGCGGCACTGAAACCGTAACGCTGAAGTAGCTGCCGGCTAAATTACTTCTCGGTCGACGCCGTCGAGGACCTTTTTGAAGTCGATGAAGTTGAGGTAGAGTTCAGTTGACTGCCATTCTGTACTCTGTCCAATGATGATGTGTAGCGTAGCGTTGCAATTTGAGCTGCATATGATTTGTTCCTCCTGAAGCCAGTCTGTTCCTTGTGAGCGCACGCAGCAACCATTCTCCGGTAGTGATTACCAAGCCTCACCATATTCAGAAGTGACCAAACTGAATGTTTGCTTCTTCTTGTAGCGTCATCCACTTCTCCAGAATCAACAGCTTTGGGTTCGACGAGACTCAACGTCGATGCTAACCTTGATAGTTTTAGCAGATTCGCTAAACTGAAGGCACCTGGTCAAGCATCGTCACCATTTGGCACGCTGCCGTGCTGCGTTGCATCGCTCATAATCGACCCTCTAACCAGTTAGTTGGAGCGCACTGGTATCTTGGTATCTGTATCTGTTTTACCGTGCCTCTGTCATGAGACCACTCACAGATCTACTTCGAGGAACTAAGAAGTTCGTGAACCTAAACAACATGGCTGGACTTGCTTTTTCTAAAGTCAAGGGAGCCATTTCAAATGCAACCCGCTTATGCATCATGACCCCAATGCTTCTTTGAGCATTGCTGTTGATTCACCTGACTCAGCAATCGGAGCAGTTCTGCAACAGTTGGCTGACAACCAGTGGCAACCGTTAGCCTTTTTCTCAAGGAGGCTGCAAGACGCGGAAACAAGATACAGTACATTTGGTAGGGAAGTCTTAGCTATGTACTTTTCTGTACGTCATTTTCGACATTCTGTGGAAGGTCGTGACTTCATTATTTTCACTGACCACAAAGCGTTAACATTCTTTCTTGGCTCGGCATCTGAAAAATACTCTCATAGACAGCTGGACTACATTTCCCAGTTCACGTTAGATATCTGCCACATTTCTGGAGCAGATAACTCTGTAGCCGACGCGCTATCTCAAATGGCTTCGATAAACCGTATCGAAGGTGTTGATCTCACCGAACCAGCTCGGTGTGAAAGAAAGACCTTGAGCTGCATCATGAGTTGTCGTCCACAGTTCTCGAGCTACAACTGTGTCCAGTAGGATCAGGCAAGGATACCATTTTACGCGATGCCTCTGCTAGTCAACCACGCCCAATAGTTCCGGAGAGATGTCGACGCAACGTCTTCAATACGTTGCACAAATTGTCCCATCCAGGTGTACTGGCCACCATCAGGCTAGTTGCACGTTTTTGCTGGCCTGGGATGAACAAAGACGTCAAGGACTGGCCCCAGTCTTGTTAAGCTTGTAAGAAGTACAAAGTCATGCGACAAACGAAAAGCCCTTTAGGTTCTTTCCTTGGCCCAGGCATGCATTTCGACGGCGTCCACTTAAATAATGTAGGACCTCTACCGGAATCTACGAGATGCATCTACTTTTTCACGTGCGCGGCTCGTTCTACGCGATGATCAGAAGCAGTACCTACTAAGGGTATCACTGCTGAAACTGTCTTACATGTTTTCGTCGAAAGATGGTTCGCGAACTTTGGATGCCCATCCTTAGGACCAACCGACCGTGAATATCAATTCGAGTGTGGACTATTTCACGCTCTAGCAGCACTTTTAGGTTGCACCCAGTTCCGAACGACAGTCCACCGTCTATAAGCAAATGGCATGATAGAACGTTTTCATCGACGGCTGAAGGCTCCCCTTTCAGCTGCAAACACACCTCAGTGGACCGAGGCTTTGCCTCTAGTCCTACTAGGTATTTGTAACGCCTTGAAAGTTAATGCTGGGTGTACCCCTGCAGAACTCATCTATGGGACCACTCTTCGCCTATCAGGTGAATTTGTTTCCCCTTCAACTTTCAAACATGTTCCCGACAGGGCATCGTACGTGACTAGGCCTGCAAACGCAATGCGTTCAGTTAGGCCTTCCCTCGTTAGACCTCAAATGATCGGTGTCTTCGTTCACCCCGTTTTACAAAAGACATCATACGTGTCCATTCGCCACGATGCCATCCGTCGACCACTTGAACCACCTCATGATGGACCATTCAAAGTGATCAAGCGACACGAGAAACTCTATATAATTGGGCGAGACGGACGTGAAGATACTGTCAGTATCGACCCTTTGAAACCAGCTTATTTAGAAGGCAACCCCATTATAAGTGACGTTTCAGCTCAGGATAGCCGACCGGTGGATGGCCCAATTATCGAAATTCTCGACGATATGCCCGGTAATACACAGATACAACAACCACTGGAGCAACAGAAAACACGATCAGGTGGAACCGTCAGGTTCCCCGAGTATTTAAAGTCATGTTCAACCGAGTAGTGTGAAATAAAATGTGCCAACCATTATTTTTAAATCGAGAGTTATCTTTCTCGGGGAACCATTTTTTTGTTTACCGGCACTGAGAAAATCCTCCCACATTTTACCTTTTTATATTTTTTTACTATCAAATAATGAAGCCTTTCTTCAAAAATTGAAATAAGCGTAAAATCTGTCATCGATACATTTATTTATAAATGTTTCCCATTTTTACGAAGCGCTCTCAAGGTATTAATGACTTTTATTTATATTCTAGGTGCAACGGGCACGGAACGGAATGTCAAAGGACACCCTAGAATAAGTTCAGACAACCAGAAACCGTTTCTCTCTATGAGCCCATTGGAAGAGTTTTACCAGTGGAGAAACCACTTAGTTTTTACTTCCGGCTGATATTGCCTTAGCGTCCTCAAGAACACAATAGGGAGGAGTGATCTGTAGCGTCACCCACTTCTCCAGCATCAATAGCTGACCTTAACAGTTCTACGAGACTCGTCGAGCTGAAGGTGCCTGGTCTAGCTTCCTCACCATTTGGCACTCTATCGTGTTTTAGTTGCACTGCTCGTATTCGACTCCCTAGCCAGTTAGTTGGAACGCACCGGTATCTTGGCACGACATCGCAAGTATACTACACCATCCGACTACGCTATTGTATTCTTTCTTGGTCTCGTATTCGTGGGTACATAACAAGTTTGGACAGTTGGTGATTGGCCTCTGCGTCCGTCAGGTTCGCACCAGGACGATTCCTAAAGTCTCGTAAACTCAAAATAAGGGAAGCACGTCACTTACGTGTTAAAAACGAGCGGTTCTGGCGCACCTCGATTGTAAGAAAAACTCCAGGCGGAATAATTTTTTTAAGTTACTGCTGTACGATTCAACGATATTAAGATTCGCTGACGATCATATTTTGAAGGGATCTGATTAGCTGAAAGTACTCTACCGACTCTGTTCGGCACGCCTTCAAGTTAGGTTTCGTTAATGGTTCATGAATCCCACACAGGCAGCTCACACACCACAGTATATCAAAGCGATAGAAGAAATGTACAAGTTCTAACTGGTTACGAAATTCAGTCCATTTTAGGTCTCTCTCCTC